TACATATATAATTAAAGTGCATATTAAAGGCTAGGGAAGAACAAAGGGCAATAACAGAGCAGAGAGGAAGGGATAGTTTAGGGCAGGCCTTGATCAGGCAGAGACATATAAGGCAACCCTGGAATATAAACATGGCTCTCTCACTGTCTCTCTGCTTCCTGAGTGCCATAAAGTTAGCAGCTTTCCTCCACCAGCCCTTTCCACCATGATGTTTCTGCCTTGAAGTCAATCATCCATGGACTGAAACGCTTGAAACTACAGACTATGGAACATGCCAGTGTGGAGTCAGTCAGTATGCTGATGACCAACACATTACAGCCAAGGGTTCCTTCCTCGTTAACCGAAGTGTGACAGGAAATCAGCACCCAGGTGTTCAGGAATTCTATCAGAACAAACTCAACTTGTACTTTCAGCCTTTGCAGTTGAAATACAACCAGAAACATGTCAAAGAGTACAATTCAGTGAAAGGACTTTCCACTTTTCAACTCAGGATGCTCTTCTGACCAAGGGCAGGTTTCTACACAGAGTTTGTTACTTAAGAAAATGAGATCTGGAGGCCCCACCACTTCAATGCAGCATGCCAGAGGAGCCCAGCTCTCCCCTGCCCCATGAAAGAGAGAAAGAGGGTCTCTCTGACACTCCTAGATGAAAATTGAAGCCCACTGGAAAAGTGAAGAAAATCTGTGATAAAGGCACATCACACCACCACAGTTGGTAAGTTAGAAGGACCAGCACCCCACATTGGAACCTGGTCTAATTTCAGGGGAAAGACAGCTGGAACCTGCAGTTGAACCTTGCATAGTTCAACCCAGCAGGAGGTCAGAGATCTCACCTGGGGCTTTGCAGCCAAAAATCAGCCTGAACCTCAGGGGACAGCTGCTGACTTGCTGAAACTAATTAGCTTAGAACTGCACACTCCTGCCCATACTGTCTATTGTATCAACAGAGGCATACCCTGAAGGAGACCCACTATTTCTATAGTTATTTTTTGTTTTCAAAGTAATATTTTTCTCTTATTGTCCATCATTTTTAAAAAATTATCTATATTTTTATTTTCTCCATTGTTTTCCTTTTTTATCTTCTTTTTCATATGTTCTTTTCTGTCTCTTTCTCACTCTCTCCCACCTTGATCTCCATTACTCTCCCTTTTTGCTCCTGTTCCTATCCTAATTCAAATTTATTTTCTTTCTTTTCCTTTTCTTCTCTTTTTCCTTCTCTCCATTGCCATTAGTTTTAAAGGGAAGTGATAATAGTCTCTGCCTTCCTATTGCTCATAGTTTGTCCTGTTCTTGGGTATATTTTGTTCTGTCTTCTCCTCTTCTCTTCAACAGCTTCATAGACTTTGCATGATCTTCCTGTGTCCTCTGACCTCACTTCTAAACTTTCTCCTTTCTCTATCCTATCTATCCCTCCCTCCCCAACTCCTTATAAATCCGCATCTTAAGAGTAAAGTTGTTATATTGAATAACTTATTCACTATGAGCATGTTTTGGGCTGGTCCTCAATTTTTATTTAATTCACACAGTTAAAGGTGATAGATTAATAACTACCACAAATTGTCATTTTCTAAGCTGTGCTTGATGCTACTGTGTTGTTGATTGTATCACTTGGGCAAAGGTGTTGTAATTGATCTAATCAGTTGTCCTCCCTGGTTTAATGAAAATGAGATAGCCTCAGAGACATTAGAGACTCTAAACCTAAAGACCAGCTATATCTGCAAGATTGTAGTATTAACCCAGGAATTAAATCAAGGACAGCAACAGCAACAAAAATAGGAATGAGAAGACATTTAAACAAGACACAAACACAGACTTCCATCCCACCAAAGATAAACTCTGGGGGAAATGAGGTGGAAAAGTCTGACAGTCAACCATCTGGACACCCTGAACCAATAGCACAGGAAGTAAAAAAAAAAAAAAAAACAGATAAATGAGGCTCTAGAAAATTTCAAAACAGAAATAATTTCCCAGATAACTATAGAGATGGTGAGAAGAGTTAAAGACATGATTAGAGACTGTAGAACAGAAACAGATTAAATATATATATACATGAGCTCAGGACCATGATGGCAACCATGAATGCCCAGCATAGGAAAGAAATGGACTCCATGAAACAGATTCAGTTATCCAGGAGATTAAAAACTCTTTAGAAAGCATCCACAGCAGGATAAATTAATGTGAAGATAGAATTTCAGATATAGTAGATAGGATTGCGGTCAGTGGCCATGAAAAGAGAGATCTCTTAAAAATAGTAGGGGAACATGAAAAATCAATTCAATAACTCTTAGATGATGCAAAGAAGAATAATATAAGACTGATCAGAATCCATGAAGTAGCAGGAGAAAGTACAAATGACATAAAAAAAACTTTTCACAGAACTAATGACAGAAATCTTCCCAAACAGAAGGAAAGAATTTGATATACAGATAAGTAAGACACATAGGACTCCAATTAGCCATGATTAAAAAAAAATCTACGCCTAGACATATAATAATCAAGATCCTTGGAACCCAACAGAAGAACAAAATACTACAAGCAGTTAGAAAAAAGAAACAAATTATATGCAAAGGAAAGCCCATCAAAATCACAGCAGATTTTTCAACAGAATCCCTCAAATCAAAGAGAGCCTGGAGTGAGGTATTTCAATTCCTAAAAGAAAACAACCTCCAACCTAGATTGATATATTCTGCAAAAATATCTTTCAATACTTCCATGACAAAGAATACCTGAGAAATTTCATGAACACCAAACCAGTACTCCAAACACTTCTAAACAACATCCTGGGAAAAGAACATGAAGACCATAGCTCCCTAAGGGCCAACAGGGCAAATATACCAGGCAAGGCAAGAAATTAAAGGGAGAGAGAAAAAAATAAAAAACAAAATAACCAACAGGAAAATAACATGACAATGAAATGTCAATACTTAACAGTTATTACCATCAATGATAATGGCCTCAATTCTCCAATCAAAAGAAACAGGCTGGCAGAATGGATTAAGAAGCAAAATCCACTGGCAAAATGGAATAAGAAGCAAAATCCAACAATATGTTGTATACAAGAAACACATCTAGTGCAAAAAGAAGCCCATAGACTGAAAGTGAAAGGATGGAAAACAATTCTCCATGTGACAGGAGCCCAGAAAAAAGCAGGCATAGCAATCTTATTTGCAGACAAAGCAAATTTCAAACCAAAACTGATTCTAGTATTATTAATGTAGGACAGTACCATATCATACCTCTGTGAATGTAAAATATCTTGTACCTGCTTTATGATATGTGGTAGTGACCGTGTTTTATCAGAGCT